CGGCGGAGCTGCTGTCGACGCCGGTGGTGCGTGTGCGGGAGGTGCTGGCGGCGCTGGATGCGGTGATAAACGGGCCCGAGTTGCGCGACGTTGTGCGCGCGGTCGGCTTTAGTGTGCTGGAGAATGACGGCTTCATTCACAAGGCAGCGCTGCGCACACTGCGCCTCACGCAGCGTGAGAGCTGCGAGGGCAAGGATGCATTGGTGACGCCGTCGATGGTCAAGGCGATGTGCGATGCGATGGAGTTGATCCTCCAGGAGGAGGAGCAGGCGTTCATACGTGCGCAGGCAAAAGGCAAGCGCCGCAAGAAGGCCGGTAAGGCGCCGGCGCTGCTGCCGCACCAGAAGTCAGCCATCCCGCTGCACATGATGCGTCGCTCGCACCTCACCAGCAAGGAGTTTTACCGTTTCTTTGACGAGCTGCCGCTTTTCGCCGCGGCCTTCACACATGTGTGGCTGCCTGCCTTTTTCGCAATGGCGTGGCCGCCTGTGAAGACGGGGTCGAATGACGCAGCCGACAACACCATCACCGCCCGAGACACACCACCACCGCTGCTCCCGGACGAAGACAACAGTATGAATAGGGATAGCACCGCGTTCGAGAATACACGCTCACAACAGGATGTAATTGATTGGGAGAATATAGCCGCTGCGCCACTCGCGTCTTTGCTTGCCGACACGACGAAGCGCCGAAGCTTGGCCCGACGTATTGTGGAGGAGCGGCTCGAACACATGAAGCAGGCCGCAGCCGTTGAGAAAGACGGGCTGCCACCGCAGGGCTAAGTGAGGAGGACTTTTCGGTGCAGAGGGCTATCAATGTGATCTTTCTTGCACACACGCACTCTCTCTCTCACTCCTCCTCGGAGCGAGACTGTGCATACATGCAAATGTGCCGGTGCTCGGCTCTCGTGAGCCCCTATTGAATGTAGTGTATACAGTATAGACAAACGGTTCTAGACGAGCTATACAGCCGGACAGTCGTACTCTTCCGCAGCCGGGCGGCTGCCGCAGCGACCAAGCTGCTCAATCGCCATTTGTTTCTAATCCTCTGCGGTCTTCATTGATTTTCTGGTTTGTGCCTTCTCTGATTTTTTTCTTCGGCAAGTGTCATCCAAGGAAGGGCTCTCACAACCTGCTCGAGCAGCAGCCATCTTGTGTGTAACTGAGTGTGTTTATTGAGCCGCCGTAGCGGGGCTACTGGCACCGCTTGAAATCATCCGCCGCTTGTCAGCATGAATTACGCCTCCCCTGCGTCGCTGTCACAGTCGCCGTCGCCAGGTGAAGCGGAAAAGGCCCTCTCCGAGCTCTCCGTGCTGCTGCCGGAGGGATGGAAGGAGCGCGGCGGTGTCGTCACAAATACACTTGGCGGGCTTCTGCAGAATCCCTTCTTCAGTGCAGGCGCTGGGCTGTACCTCTTGACGTTTGCGGGAGCGGCGGCACGGTCCTGCTCCACTGTTCTGCAGACGGCGATGCGGCGCCGCTTTGTGGTATCGATGGAGGTGACCAGCCAGGACGAGAGCTACGGCTGGATGGTGCGCTGGCTCGCGCACAATCCCGCCTTCCGAGTGCAGCAGGTGAACATCACCACGCGCAACACTACCATCTTCTCCAACGACGAGTCCTCGCATGAGTGCCTCTATGCACCTTGCACGAACGTGCGGCACTGGTTTTGGTACAAGGGGCGGCCCATGATGCTGCAACGGCGACGCGTGGAGACGCAGGCAATGGGGACCGACGTGCTTGAAACGATGCAGCTGTCGACGCTCGGTCTGTCGGCGTCCATCATGCAGGACATCCTGGAAGACGCGCGTCACCTCACCTCAATGCGCAACAGCGACCACACGGTCATCTACCAGAACGCTGGGGGGCGTTGGGTGCGGCAGGAGCCGCGGCGACGTCGTCCTCTGCACTCTGTGGTACTGGACGGCAACATGAGCACCAACATCCTCAAAGACGTTCAACTGTTCCTCAAGTCCAGCAGCTACTATGAGGACCTCGGCGTGCCGTACCGCCGCGGCTACCTTCTGCACGGGCCGCCCGGCTGCGGAAAGAGCAGTTTTGTCATGGCCCTTGCCGGTGAGCTGCGGCTGTCGATCTGCCCCTTGAGTCTCTCAAGCCGCGGTCTCGGGGATGAGGCGCTGGTGGCGCTCCTTAACAGCGCCCCGCTGCGCTCGATCGTGCTGCTGGAGGACATCGACCGCGCCTTCAGCGCTGACAGCCACATCACGATGAGCGGGCTGCTCAATGCGCTGGACGGCGTGGCGGCGCAGGAGGGGCGGCTCGTTTTCATGACGACGAATCACGTGGAGCGCCTGGATGACGCGCTCATCCGCCCCGGCCGCTGCGACGTGAAGCTGGAGATCGGCCTGCTGTCGCGCGGCCAGGCGCAGCAGCTGTACCGCAAGTTCTTTCCCCGCAGCGATGCGGCCCTGCAGGAGCAGTTCGCCGCGCTCATCCCGCCGCAAGTGTTGAGCGTCGCCCAGATCCAGTCACACCTCTTCCTGCACCGCGACAGCGCGGAAGAGGCGGTGCGTGCGCTGCCGGTGTTCCTGCAGACGCTCAAGTCGTTTGAAACGCAGCTGCAGCGGGCTCGCGAGAGAGAGGAGAGCATGGCGCGTCTGAAGCGCTCACCCATGTTGCACAACCTCTGATGTTGAGGGGATGTGCATGCACACACACACACTCGCTCTCGTTTCCGCTCCGAGAACGAGAGCGGGGGAAGGGGTGGATGGCGCTCCCCCGTGACTTGGGATGCTGTGCGGTGGGCGCAGGGCCAAGGGGAAGGGGCGCCACGTCCCGCAGGATCGAAGGGATTGGACAGGCAGCACACAACGAGGATACGAAGGCACTTGCGTTGTNCCCCCCCTCTCCCTTTTTTTTTCACCACACACAATACACACCTGGGTTTCTACCAATGGCCCGCGCCATGCTCTTCTTTTCCCTCTTTGCCAGAAGTCTTCTTCGCCTTCATTGCCGCTACTACAGCCGCGTTATATTCGCCACAAGTACGTATCGAGGTCGCTGCCCGTCAAGTCTGGGGCAGTTGGCAACCGTGTAAGAAGAATGCTGACACGCGAGCGAACAGCGGGGTTAACGGCACGAAATGTCTCTCCGCCCGGAATCCTCCCGCGGAAGGGTCCCGTCGTCGACGACAAAGGGCCGGTACAGTGGGTAGCGCGGCCAACATATGTGCTCTCCCCAATTCATCGTCAAGGCGAGTCACCGTCACCGCAGCAGCACCAGAGGAGACCAACGATCGGAATCGACGGCCGACGTGCAGTGTCGCCGCGGACTCCTTCTGCGAACGAATCACCACTGCAGCAGCAACCATGGCATCAAGAGAGTCCACGTGTCTCGGCGTTACAGCCGATGACGGCTTACCCGCCGCCACCACTTCGATACGCTAAACAAGAGCTACCGCCGCATGGGCGGCAAAAGCAGCCACCTGCAGCACTGCCACCTTTGCTCGTACAGCCTCGCAGTGGTCGCGTTTCTGGTGATAGAAATCGATCGCCCTCTATGTCGCGTGCACCTCTGCATGGCCGCTGCTCTATATGCATGGAGAGGCAGTCAGTAATCATGCTGTTGCCCTGTCACCACCTTTGCCTCTGCGAGAAGTGTCTTGAGCACGTTTTACGACGGCGCTGCCCGTATTGCAATAAGCCCTTCACAAAAACTACACGTGTGCGCCTGACATAAAAGCTGCGCGGAGGATCCCACAGTATTCGGGGGTTTCTTCCCTAGTAATAGACAGGAAAAAACGCATTTAGCGCTGCCATTTCTTTTCATAATTCCCCTCTATAGATAGAAGCACTCAAATGGGACAAAATATGTGAGCAAAGTACTGACCCACTTCCCCCCCCCCACTATGTTTTGAGCAAATTTATGACCCATAAAGCCCGACTCTTTTATTTGAGGATGGCTGCCCATTAAGACTCGTGATTCCCGCTCGGGTGTGCACCACAGACCACTCTGCGCCTCTGCGCTGGCAGCCATACACCCGAACAGCACCTCTTCTCTTCACCTCCACTTTGCTACCGCGGAAGCTGCACAAGCGCAAACAGCACACAAGACAAGACAAGGGTTGAACGCAACAAACAAGCAGGATGCCGTCCGGTAACGGGTGCCGTGCCAACCAACGCCGCGCACGGGAGCAGGCCAAGGCGCTGAAGCAGGGCGCCTCACACACCGCGGAGGACAGGAAGAAGCACGAGGAGTCTAAGAACGCGGTGCAGTGTGTCCTGTGCTTTCAAGGCTTCCCGCGGACAGTGCGGCGGCCGGAGCTGGAGCAGCACCTGGAGTCGCGCCACGCCAAGGCGGGCAAGTCCCTCGAAGAGCTTTTCCCCGCCTTTTCGGACTGACACGCGACTGGCGGCGCATTGCATGGGGCGCAAACGCAAGCAAAAGAGGAAGGGAGGGTGTTGAGGGGAGGCGCCACAAGCTGCATGCTTGTATGTGGCTTGGTGCGTGTTCCCATTCCCCTGTAATATGAATTAATTCTTTTTTGAATTACTGGCGCTGTTTTGGGGGCATGTATGCGTGCCCGCTCTTCTGTTCGGCTTCAATAGCGGCAACAGTCGCAAGGGCAATGGCGTCGAAACAACAACGGCACTAGCAGAAGTTAGGGCGGCGATCCGCTGCGGTTTTATACTGGCCTCCTTTGACGCTCTTCTGGCCTTTGCCACCCATGTGGAGAGGAATGATTCAGGTGGCTGTGTGGCAGGTGCGTACACACACACACACACACACACAGACAAGGTACGCAGAGGCAACCAAGCGAAGAGAAGCAGCATCAGTGGTGGGGAGGTGGGTTCCTTACTCACTGTTTTTTTGCGCTCTGTAAGAAGGGTTCGAGCACCCTCTTGTTGGGGCGTCAGTCGGGCAGGTGGACGCAACGGAAGTGGTGTGCTGGGGTGGTGTCGCGTCACGCGCAACCGCGAGGCGAGCATGGACAACAAGAATGGCAGCAGCTGGTCTGTATTATTGCACGTGTGGCTCCTGGTGCGAGGCTCGCCGAGGACTGGAGCGATAGTGCTGGATGCCCCGAGTCTTGCAGCGCCTGTGTGTCTGTTTCTACGTCTTTGTGTGCGGTGTTGGATGCTTTGTGCTGTTTATTTATTTATTTATATTTGATGTATTCATTGTCGTTCCCCCAGGGTGCAGGAGTCTCCCGAGTGCTCTTTTGTCTCTGTCTTTTTTTTTTTTCCTGACGCCCGGCTCCGCTAACTGCGCCCGTACGCGTGGGTGTACCGCACTGTGGAGGGGGCTTGTCGGCGTAAGCTCCTGCAGCCAGGCGGAAACATACAAGAACATTGGCCCCCCTCCTACACACACACACATACCTCAAGGCAACAACAGAACGCAATGTCGCGGCTCGTAAAGCAGTATGCCTCGTGCAAAACGGCTTTCATGTGCTGTGATATTCAAGAGAAACTGTCGACGCGGGTGGCGAACTTCGCCAACTGCGTCTTTGTCTCGAACCGCTTCGCCACGCTGCATACCGCCCTTGGCGAGGCGCACAGTATCTTCATCGTGACGGAGCAGTACCCACAAGGTGTCGGGCCCACCGCGGAGGGCATTCGTGTGCCGCACGACGCGCACGTGTTCGCCAAGACGCAGTGCTCAATGCTTCTGCCGGAGGTGCTACGGCTGGTGGACGTGCCGGAGGTGGAGCAAGTGGTGCTGTGGGGCAATGAGACGCACGTGTGCGTGCTCCAGACCGCTGCGGCGCTGCTGGATCTGCGCAAGAAAGTGGTGGTCGTGCTGGACGGCTGTGGCAGCCAGTGGAGCGTCGACCATGATGCGGCGGTGCAGGTGCTGCGGTCGTGGTCGAACGACGGCTGCTACGTGTCGACCTCAGAGTCGGTGCTTATGCAGCTGTTAAAGGACGCGGCAGACCCGATGTTCAAGGCGGCTGGGGCGGTCATGAAGGAGAAGCCACCGCTGCGTTGATATGGATTATTTTAACGGAGTTTACATAGTTATATATGCGCGTTGTGTCTTGATGTGGTAAAGGGTGGAAGGGCAATGCTAACGGATGTGTGAAATTTTAAAGTGTGCAAAGAGGCAGCAGCTGTGTGCACGTTGCGGGCTGCGGCTTCTCTACACTGCAAACGTTATCGGTCAAGCACACGTAGTGGTATACACAGATGCCGCGATAATGATGATGATGATGATGACGGCGAAAGGGGCTTTGGGTTTGCGTCTCATGCGTGATCCATGGAGGTGTCTGTGTGTGTGTGTGTGTGTGTGTGTGCAGTTGAAGTCTTTCGCCATCCGCCTAGCAGCAAACAACGCAGACAGGCATGGGCGTTTCCCCTCTCATCCTTACATATACTGAACTTGCGTCCTACTTTTTTCTCGTTAAATAGTCACACACGCAAGCCTTTAGCGCACAAGGCGGCCCACACAAGTGGTGCAAAGGCAGCGGCGACGGTGGTGTTGGTAGTAGTGGGTGGGGCGTGTCACATTCATGCTCTCGCGTCTCACGACGGGCTTGTGCCCGCTATATGCGGTCGTGTCGGCGCGGCATGCCACACTTGTCACGTGTTGGCGTCACGCCAGCCGCGTGGGTGGCAAGCAGCAACGAGACCAGAAGCAGCCACAGAAACAACGTCGCCATCGAGCACTCGAGGCGGTCGTACGTGATGTGGCGGGGGGCCAGACACGCGCACCGGTGGCGGTCGCTGCTGCGCTGGGTGCTCAGCCGCTGGCCCCACCAGCGCCGTCACCGCCAGTGAAGAGGAATAAAAAGAAGGACGCCAGCAGCAAGAATAGTGGTGAGAAGGCAGCCTCTGTTGGCACCGCGGCGAAGCGAAGGGCCAAGGCAGCGGCGGGAGAAGTCTCTGCTTCGGAAGCGGCAGCACGACTGAGGGGGAAGAAAAGTAAGGCCGTAGCAGCGGGGGGTGAACAACGCCAAGACGAAATCAATGACGCTGACGACGGCGATGGTGATGATG